TTTTTGGACACATTCTGACTTTTCACAATAGAGTGTAGAGCCCCATTCACTCTATTTCCTGCATTCACACATCGTTCTTTATCCTTATCATATCTACCATCCCTGATAAACACACATCCCAAATATACAAACTCATCTACTTGCTCTACCAACTCCCCTTCTATTCTTATTTCACATATCGGTTTACTTTCTTCTCTTTCAAAAACCAGAACTTTCGTCTTACTTGCGTTCACTTTCATTCCCTTTTCTTTTCTTTTAATGTCCTGTTCATTAATGTAACCATCATTTGCAACTCGGCTGCCGACGATGCAAGTATGACTTGATCATCGGCGTACAAAAGGCATTTAACGGTTAACTCACCCATTCTTAACCCACATTCTTCTACTTTCAAATTTTCCAAACAACTGTCCATAAATAGGTTGAACAACCACGGGAAGCCACACAGCCCTGTCTGACACCTTTATGGATGCCAAACCAGTCAGAGTAGGCCCCGTTGATCCTGACACAAGCACTAGAGTCCCTATAAAGAGACCTTAATGCCTGTATCAAGCCAGCGCTCAACCCAAATGAGTTCAGTATTTGCCATAACACATTCCTGTCCACTCTGTCATAAGCTTTTTCCAAGTCCATGAACGCACAAAAAACTTTTTAGTTTTTGCTAAAAACTTCTCCGCGATCATGCGCATGGAAAAGACCTGATCCGTACATCCCATTCCCTTTCTAAATCCCGCTTGCACATCCCAAATTTTTCCATCAGTTTCTTTCTTAACTCTTTCAATTAGTACCTTAGCATACAGTTTTCCCACAATGCTAAGAAGGCTGATACCACGATAGTTTTTACAGTCCTGCTTTCCCTTATATATTGGGACTATCACGGCTTTGCACCAGTCTCTCGGTACCCGCTTAAGTTCCCAACATAAATTAAACAAGGTGTACAGCAGGTCTGCCACCACTCATTCTCCAGCCCTTAGCATTTCGAGAGATACTCTATTATAACCGGCTGCCTTACCTGCTTTCATACTTTTCATTGCTTTCTTTATTTCATCTATACTTATATATCTATCTATTTCCTCTTCTTTTGAAATTTCTATTTCATTTAATTCAAACGTCTCATCACTTATAAACACGCTTTCAAAGTATTCCTTCCATCTCCTTAAACTCAAAACTTCGTCATTCAGAATACAGCCATTCTGGTCTCGTATAGCATTCATTCTAGGCTGTTGTGAATGTCCCCTGGTAGTTCTTACGAGTTTCCAGAACATTTTAATGTTTGCCTGGAAGTTATCCGATATTCTTCTATCATTCTTATCCGTTCTTTCTTGCTTTTTCCTTTCAACTACTTCTTTTACCATCTTATTTAGGTGTCTAAAAACTGCCGTTTTCCTATCAATATCATCATTCATACTGCTAGAATTACTAGCCTTGGTTGCTAGTAAATCTAGCCATGCTTTCTTCTTTGCTTCAACTTCCATCCGTATCTCATCATCCCACCATAATGTGTTATTTTTTCTTTCATTCGCTCAATTCAGCCATACCACTTATATTTTCTCTCAATCTACATTTGAACTTCTCTTTCACACCTTCATCTTGTAACCTCTCTATTCTTATACGCTGTAACGCAGTGGTAGACACAGATGTCCGATGCCTCCAAAGTCTGAAAAGACCATTAATTCGGCATAAGACCAAGTAATGATCCGTGCCTACGTTAGAGCCCCGGTAAACCCTTGTATCTACCACCGCGCTCCTCATTCTTTCATCAACAATCATGAAATCTATCATACTTTTATCATCACCTCTTTCCCATGTATACGTGTGAATCTTCTTATGACGAAAGAAAGTGTTCGTCACAACAAGATTCTTTTCCACGCATACGGCGAGAAGGTTTTCACCATTCTCATTTATACTTTCATCACCAAACGTTCCCAATATCCTTTCATAACCAAGCCTCCTTACCTCAACCCTTCCATTAAAATCGCCTAATATGACAATAATTTGATTAACCTTGCATTTCATTAGCACCATACTTACCAACTCCCAAAACTGCTCTCGGATATAAGTGGGCTTAGACATGTCTGGGGCGTAGACCCCTAAAACAAACAACTTCTTTAAGCCCACTTTCATTCGTATCCATAGCAGTCTCGGGCTTACACATTCATACTCTTTCACACAATGACCCATTCTTTCTGAAAGGATGATACCGACTCCCTGGCCGCTCGGTCTCGTCTACACCAGACCAGTACGCGGTATACATGCCATGTGTAGTGGCATCCTTTCCCTTCCGTTTCGTCTCATTTACACATAACACGTCTATTCCTCTATCATACATCATATCGCATACTTCATACATCTTATCATTCATTCCTCCACATACATTCAATGTAGCCAGACGGGCTTCCGCAATCCACTTTTCGCCCCTCCGGGGGACAGAACGTGACGGGTGGCGAACCTCGTCGCTGGTTTTCTTCCCGGAGATTCTTCGCACCTGAGGATATATGCACGTTAAACGTTTTTTTTACAACAGCGCTATCTATCAAAAATAAAAAGAATGCTATTATTTTCCTTGATATTTTGCTTACTAAATAATTACACCTTTTGTGTTTTGAATAAAACTATTTTACGGAATTTATGTAGTTTCATTTAATTCATTATTAATTCCTTTGACTCAGACGCTTCGCTATCATGTCTGATATGAGTTCTATTTCCATTTTTAACGATTATTTTTGGTATTACTTTCTTTAAAAAAGCGGTCAATTGCGAGTGAGACTCGCCCGTGAAGGGTTCCGTAGCAGTTCCGGAATAAACAGACAGAAAGTTGAGTTTCTATTATAAGTACCGTATATACTTTCATATGCATTTATTAAAAAGCTGTTATTTTGACATTACAAGCAAACAGTTCAATTTTATTAGTTTGTATAGATACTCTTAATTTTAAGGATTCTTACACAGAATTGAATTATTGGCTTACCGGAATTCCACATAGTTTTTGTAGATATAAGTTGCATCAAGTATTTTAAAGAATGAATTAACTATATTTAATAACTCATCCATATTCAATAAGACTCATTTGCAGAGTTTACTTCATTGATTTCCAATTCATTAAGACGTTTTAGTTCAGTTATTCATAAATCAGTATAACACCACAATAATTTAATCGCTCAAATTTGGTAAATAACTTTGAAGTCAAATATTAATAAAGACAAATTGGTTATATATAGGTAAGTTGAGCCCAATTTTCTGATGACAATCGGTAGGAGTATGTGATGTCCACGGGCAAGTTGTATAGCTACGACAAACCAGCTTATCACCGACACTGAGATGATACGTCTAGGACGTATTCGTTAGCGAGTCCACGTTTACCGCAGCCTCGGTCACGGCGAAGCAGTATACACGCCACTATAATAATCATTTTCAAGTCCCATTTCTATCAATATAATGCTTTTACATATTTGATGCCTTCCACATATTTGCTTTATCTCATAGACCTTACTATCTTAAGTCTTTTATATATGGGACTTCAAGTCACAATTCTGCTATTATAATGCTTATGCATCTTAGAAACCTTGTATATTATTGCTTTTTTATCTACTATACTATCATAAGTCTACATAAGTCTAAAAAGAACCCCTTTGTCGTATCTCCTCAGTTTCAAGGTACTCCCCTTGTTGCCTCAGCCAGTATCGGAATCCTCGGCGTCGACATATCGAGTAGCGTGCAGTTTCGTGGTCACTTGGAAGCGAAGGCCAAATTGGCCTCTAAAAAGCTTGGCGTGCTCAGCAGAGCGGGACAGTATTTCATGCCGGCTCAACGCCTGCAACTTTACAAGGCGCAGGTTCGGCCTCACATGGAATACTGTTCCCATCTCTGGACTGGGGCTCCCCAGTGCCAGCTTCTTCCACTTGACCGCATCCAGCGCAGAGCGGCTCGAATCGTCGACGACCGAGTCTTTTCCGATCGGCTCGACTCATTGGCACTGCGAAGAGATGTTGCATCTCTTAGCATTTTCTTTCGCATTTACCATGGGGAGTGCTCTGAGGAATTGTTCGGATTAATCCCAGCCGCCAAATTTCACGAACGCACATCGCGGCAGAACTCCCGATACCATCCACACCATCTGGATGATTGGCGGTCCACCACTGTGCGATTTAGAAGATGTTTTCTTCCTCGCACAACTTCCTTGTGGAATAGTTTACCACCAGCGATTTTTCCGGACCGATACGACTTAGGGACCTTCAAGAAAAGAGCCTACTCCTTTTTAAAAGGCCGGCAACGCATCTGCAATTCCCCTGGTGTTGCGGTTGTTCATGGGCGGCGGTAGTCACTTACCCTCAGGTGAGCCGCATGCTCGTTTGCCCCCTCTCATATAAAAAAAAAAAACCATTGTGCAACAGTACTTCGGTACCACCATATATTCATGTATGACCTTGGGTATGCGTCGCCGGCAGCTCCTTTATAAAAACAATAATAAAACACGAACATGCTCCAGCATTGCACGAATACACTCGGTAACTTAAAATATTTATTGGTAAGTAGTTGTGTACCATTAGTAAGCAAATAAATACTTGCACACTCCAATGAAAATCACCTTTGAGAATGGACTGATCGCTACCAAATTATTTCCATTAAATAAAAATAAAATATGGCATAATCGTCATCATCATCATCATCATCATTACACTACTATATTTTTCTAATTTTGAAGTAAAATATCTTAAGTTTAATCGATAAAATGGTTAAGTACCACCCTCCGCTAGGGATCTTGTCTCCAGTACAATTGGAACCAATCTCAAGCAAACCGGAACACAACACACACCGGAACGCAGCGCACGCAACGCAACTTATACCAATCAGAAAGAACCATCACATCGAACTCGGTCGACGTCATCACAATACTCAAAACTGGAAACGTAGTAAAAAATAGTCGTAATTGTCATAATTTGAGTCATAATTATTATTTATTACATAATATTTAATTTTATAAGTAAATTTTCTCTGTGTATCAGTTAATTTGTACATGTAGAATTGTAGTCCTGTTCCTTTCTCGATCTATCAACGCAACTGAACAATTTAAAATCCCTTCCAAACATTTCGCCATCCTCTAAAGTCTGAGGCAGCGGTTGGTTCAGGGTTTCGGGCAGGAACAGCGACGAAATACCCGCCATCACGCTAAGTATACCCATGATTATGAGTGGAAGTGATTTGCCGTATACAGCCTGAAAAAAAATCACTAGCGTTGTTAATGAATTGATTATTTTTATTTAAAAAAAATCTAAACACCTAAACCCGTCTAAGGCAAAAATCGCCTAAAATTTTTTTGTATATTTTTTTTATATGATAAGGATGACAAACGAGCGTTCTCACCCGTGAGGACTAAGATGGATTGCCTCATTTCCAGTAAAAAGGGTCTCCGGTTCTCTACACTAACCATACGAAACACAGCAACGTTAAGCTGCTATTTTACGCTGGTATTCTGTGACAGCGTGGTCCCCGGTCGAGCCGGCCCATTCGTGCCACAACTATACTACTAATATAGTTGCAGCATGGCTCTACCACGTAAAAAAGTTTAAAAAATAGTTAAAAAATATGTCGCAGCCAACTAGTTTAATTAGTCTTTCAGTTAACAATCAACATCATTCAGGCCGCTAGTTGAACGGCGCCATATATACAAAGTTTTCTATATATTTTCAAAATGCACTTCTTAAGAATTTTCATTTAATACCAAACACGATATTGTAATCTATTTCCTTGGTACTACTTTAAGTCCGCAATAAGCTGCAATGTTGCATTTTATGTATATTAGTATTGTCATGTAGTGTCACTTCTATAAGTACGGCACTTTCAACGATCCCTCATTTATAAAATACAACGAGTAATACGGTTTCCGTTGGGGTCGCTCAGTTGGTGATATTCTTGTTTACCTAACTCACAGATGAACTAGACCAAAGGGGAGGCATTGCCATTAACTTGGACAAAGCGAAGGCCTTTGATCGGGTCTGGCACAAAGCGCTTCTTTTGAAGTGGCCTTCCTATGGGCTTCCCGAAAAATTGTGCTATTAGATCACCAGTTTTCTGGCTAATCGGAGCATCAAGATGGTAGTAGATGGTGCATGTTCCGATTACAAGGCTATTAACGCTGGTGTACCACAAGGCTGCAAGCTATCACCAACGCTGTTTCTTCTGCATCTCAATGATAGGTTGCAAACCGGTAACGTTCATTGCTATGCGGATAACAGCACTGGTGATGCTCTATACACCGGTGGTCCAATATTTCTACGGAAAACGTCGCCGAGTACAGGAACAAACTTGTGTCTGAAGTCGAGGCTTTGCTGAACAAAGTCTCGTATTGGGGGCGACTAAATCTAGTCGAGTTTATTCCTCAGAAGATTTGCGCGTTTACAGCTAAAAAGAACCCCTATTTCGTATCTCCTCAGTTTCAAGGTACTCCCCTTGTTGCCTCAGCCAGTATCGGAATCCTCAGCGTCGATATATCGAGTGGCGTGCAGTTTCGTGGTCACTTGGAAGAGAAGACCAAATTGGCCTCTAAAAAGCTTGGCATGCTTAGCAGAGCGGGACAGTATTTCATGCTAGCTCAACGCCTGCAACTTTACAAGGCGCAGATTCAGCCTCACATGGAATACTGTTCCCATCTCTGGGCTGAGGCTCCCCAGTGCCAGCTCCATCCACTTGACCGCATCCAGCGCAGAGCAACTCAAATCATCGACGACCGAGTCCTTTCTGATCGGCTAGATTCACTGGTGCTGACAAAAGATTGTATCTATTTGCATGTTTTATCGCATCTACCATGGGGAATGCTCTGAGGAATTGTTCGGACTAATTCCAGCTGCTAAATTTCACCATCGCACATCGCGACAAAACTCGCGATACCATAACTACCAACTGGATGATAGGCCGTCCACCACTTTGCGATTTAGAAGAAGTTTTCTTCCTTGCAAGATTTCCTTGTGGAATCGACCACCATCAGCGACTTTTCCGGACCGATACGACTTAGGAACCTTCAAGAAAAGAGCCTACGTCTTTTTAAAAGGCCGGCAACACATCTGCGATTCCACTGATGTTGCAATTGTTCATAGGCGGCGGTAGTCACTTACCATCAGGTGAGCCGTAAACTCGTTTGTCCCCATCTCCTTTAAGAAAAAGAGTAGTTAAAGTTAAAGTTAAGTTAAGTTAAGTAAGTTAAAGACGATATAAAGGAACAAATGAACATACATACATAGCCCTCTAAAGTCATAACCCTCCTTTTTGGTTTTGCCGTGGTTGGGTAAAAGTACCATCACGCTCTTATCCATGAAAAACTTATCGTGTAGGTTTGTAAGAGAACCAACACCCCATTTCATTCTGTAGTTATTGTAACAACAATGGGCAATACCGAAAGACCGGCTTCCAATAAATTGCGGTACCACAGCAGAGCATTGCTATAGTTACTACATTATAGTTGTATCATGAACGGGTCAGCTCGAACGGGGAAGGACCACGCTCTCACAGAATACCAGCGTGGAGACTTCAATTTAGACTCCAAAGAAGCGTCAGTAGTCTAATGGCAGGGCGCGGACCGCGAACTCAAAATGTCATGGGTTCGAATCCACGATTCGACTAATGTCGTGAACCACTTCTAACACAAGCACACAAGTAGTTGTTGAGAGCACTAAGCTCACCAGAAGTGGTTAAAGGAAATATTAGTAAAGTATAATAGCATTACTAGTATTTTTAAAAAATGGCAATACATGTAAAACAAATGGAAGTACATTAGTATGTGGTTGGTTGTCCCTTTTTTTTCGTTGTCCAACCGTCAGTAATATAAAACTTTAGAAATTATCTTTACATCATGCAAATTATGACGATATATCGATATGTCGATATTTATCACGCGATATATAAAGAAAGATAGGATACTGTTTAAAAATATCGATTCGATATATATCGATATATTTTTCCCTTGCCCATCCCTTGATATGAGGTAGTGAATATTTTACACCGCTACTCTACCGTTCTTTTGTTTTGTTATATCTTATTCGATAACGGCAATGCCAATCACTTTGTTAGTATGAAATTTAAAAATTAGTGAATACTGGATAGGTTAAATAGGAAATAAGTCACTATTTTAGTAATGTTTATGTTCAAAATATTTATTCAATTTTTGTACAAGTAAGGGTGACAAACGAGCACACAGTCCACCTGATGATAAGTGGATGATTACCAGCGTAAACAGCAGCATACTGTTATGTTACATACGAAAAGCTTTTACAAATAATTTTAAAAAGATATGACGGGAACCAAAGATACATTTAACTGAGTAATAAAACGGATTACTCGTTGTTTATTCGCGAAACGAGAGGGGATTGCCCGACTGGCCCAGTCCCTTATATACAATATAGTTAGAATGTAAATGCCCTCGTTTACATGAATATCCATAGAGCATAGAATAATATTATTTATTTATATTACACTAACGAGGCGTACCAACTTAGACCTCTGTAATATAGGAAATGCCAATGAGGAGACGTGTTGCTGGTAGTATTTCTTTAATTAGAGTTAGACTAATTTTTATAATTGACTGCAAATGTCGTTCATCACACATCGTACACGTACAAATGAGGGCTATAATATTCCATCCACCAGATGTCGCTAGTTGACACTGAGGTAATTTTTTTTGTTGTTAAACAATGTCATTTCATTGAGAAGTCACTTTCAAATAAAAGCTTATCACTTTCTAGAGTATTATATTAATATGCAAAATAATGCCTCAATGAAATGCTCTTTAATTTATTGCACATTTTTAACTCTTTTTTTTCCACTTTTATTAATGTCTGTGGTTTGGTTTATTTATTTTGAATCTTATTAATATAAAATATAAGAAATAGTACAAAAGAAACATTAAACTTTACATTTTTCGAACAAATTAACATCCCTGTTATGAAATCTATCAAATATTAGACCTCATTTTTAAGTGGCGTCGCCCTGGTGGCAGAAAAAATCGTGGATGCCCTCCTTGATTCTTAATCGAGGATTGACGTTTGTCTTCTATTAGCTACGGCATCGCTTTACCATCATGTTGACTTTATGATTGTTTGTCACTGTTACTTGTAATTATAAAAATTATGCTTACAGTTCAAATTTCTTAATCCTCATTTAAAAATATAAATATAACTGAACTCACCAAATGCACAACATAAGGACAGGCTAAAAGGCCTAAGCCCGAAATAAATGACGCCAATCCCATAGCTTGCGATCTCAACACCGTAGGAAGAAACTCTCCAATTAACACGTAGAATACAGCAAAGGATGCCGCACCACAGAGTCTGCCCAGCATTGCCAAGCAGACAGTCAACCATGGTCTGTCTAAAATGTATTTTATATATAGTTTTATAATAACTAGCTCAATGAGGAGAGAAACTTTGAGCTCAACAGTGCAAAAGCTCGAAGTTCCCTTGCGTGACAGAATTTGTAGCAATGTATACGCAGCAGAACCAATGTAACCGACATATTCCAATGCATCAATAAACCGAAGTGGCAAAGGGATGGCCATGTAGCTCGACAAACCAAAAAGAAAAGAACAATAACGTTCCTTACTACATGGTGTAATGACCTGGTAAGACATGCTGGAAGTCATTGGATGAAGGGGGCTCAAGATCGTGCTTTGTTGCATAACATGGTGGAGGACTGTGTTTAGCAACGGACATGTAATTTAATGATGAGGACAAAAGGAAATGAAAAGAAATATCAAATATTAAAATTGATTTTACTTTTAACCTATTTTATATATTCTTGACATTTTCTAAAACATCATAGATTTATCTTAAGTTTTAGTTCGTTGTATATTTTTGTCTGTTGATGCAGGGAACGCTGATAACAATTAATTGTTTTCTTTAGATAGATGAGGGTGACAAGCGAGCACTCAGCCCATCTGATGGTAAGTGGATGCTAAGACCCACAGACATCTACATCTATCCTCGATTAAGAATCAAAATACAGATGCATTGTCACCACTTGGGACTAAGATAGAATGTCTCGTATTCAGTAGAAAGGGTCTTCGGTTCTCTACACTCACCATACGAAACACAGCAGCATTGAGCTCCTATTACGCTGGCTGTCTGTGAGAGCGTGGTGCTTTCCCAGAAATGGCACTACCGTGTATAAAATAAATATTTATGATTACCAAGTATTTCTTTAAAATTTTACCTAAGATTTGAGTGGATATAGCTATATATATAAATTATATATATATATATATATATATATATATATATATATATATATATATATATATATATATATATATATATATATATATATATATATATTACTTTCGGCGGCACATTAAGCATATACAACAGCATTTATTTGTCATTGCGCCGCCACGCTGCACGTTCTACCAAACGCTCTTTACAGAGACCTAACCGTAAGGCCGGTATTTAGAGACTATCATAAACCTAGACTCCATATCAAAATTTAAGTCTAAGCTATACTATATATATACAAATTTCGACATTTTGATTTTGATTTTAAGTTCAAATCGATATTCTCTGTGAACACCGGCCTATGGGTGTTGTCCTGAGTGGCGCCCTTTCAAGTTGTATAGGCAATACACCGTCACACCTCTCGTCCCTTGAAATGCTTTTTACTAAGTTACTGAGGCTTAGTGTTAGCTTTTAATAACTAAGTAAAAAAATCAGGTAATCAAAAATAAATTTCTATTACGTCGGATTAATTAAAATTCATAAGCGATAACTGTAACGGTATAAATGAAGTTGGTTAACTCGAACTAACTCATCTAGAAAAATAGTGTTAAGTATTATCCTATTGACCAGTTAGGTCGTTTGTAACTTAAGTGCGTAAAAATAATACAAAACGTTTCTTTGATATACCTTCTGGGACTAATACGCAGCTGAGGCAAGCTAAGCCGCCGATGCACATAAAAATGCATAGCACCCATCGGCGACCAAAACGCTCCATGCAATGCCAAGCGATTATATATGAAGGAAGCTCCACCACTCCTCCTGTAATATTAAATAATATTGCATAAAAAAATAGGGCCGTGTAGTGTCAGTGTAAGAATAATCACTACCCCATATCATCCTGTCGGTGTCGTAAGAAGCGACAGTGGGAACAAATCAGAAGACGGGCAGCAGCGTCTGCCTAATAACGACTAAAAATAAAAAAACTGTGGTTGCCAACGCACTTGCTAAATGTGGCAACTATGGCAGATGTCCTCCCTATGAGGTAATCTATGAAGGGAGTCAATATTCAGCAGCATTAATAGGCTGTAACGGTAACGGTAAAAAAAAAAACAAATTTGTGAAGAACTTAATGTCTTTAAAGTTGGTAAAAATTACCTTGCGTACATCTGCTAATTTAATCGAGCGGATGTACAAAAGATAATTTTTACCAACTTTAATATAATGAATTTACGCAAAGTAATGCCTGATTCTATTAATTATGTTAATGTCTTTGTTCGATTCTTTGTGAATTAGATGAAGGTCCCGATTGAAAAAAAAAATGATAAATATGGGATTATTTTCGATATCATTCAGCTGTATGTACTCATTTTTATTTCGCTTAACGATATGGATATTTTGAATTGTATAAAAAATTAAAAATTATTGCTTATATACGTCCCACTGATAGCCACAGGCCTTCCCCCATTTTTGAGAGGGTTTTAGGGCAAGAAAGTATCCGCCGCGCTGCCCCAATGCGTCTTCTTATTAATATTTTTATTTATCAGACATGCCGGTTTCCTTGCGATATTTTTCTTCACCGCCGAGCACGTGGTAAATCAATTTAACAATTTCATTGGTGCCGGCATCGAACCGGGATTGCTCGCTTACTGTGAAATTTACAGCGAGCGCTAAACTTCTGAGCTACCACGGCAGGTAAAATTATTTAATTTATTATTAATATTGAAGTTACAGCTTACATTCTTTCCAATGCTATAATATACATACTGAAAGCTATTCTGAACAGTACTTACCAATAAAAAATGCCAAGTAGTCATTGACGCCTAGATTTGATGTATTGTAACTTAAGCCATTATATATTACTCCTAATGATAGCCAATCGAAAGTCAGAATAAAAAAATTCTTTCTTATATTTGGATATCTGAATAAATCTAAAATAGATGCTTTGCAATCTTCTTGTAATTCTTGATCATCATTGGCACTCATTTCCACATTATCTTCATTATCACCTTTAAGGAAAATTCTAGTGACCAGTTGACGTGTTTTGCTTTTTAAATCACCTAAAGACGTTCCACGATAATTCATCTTTAACGATTGCTTCAATTGTTCATTTAATCGAAGTTCTCTAGTACTAGCACCCCTGTTATTCTCAAGCGTGTTACTGATTCCTTTCTTTCCTACGTTTTTATTAAGTAAAAGACTTTCTTTGTCTACATTATCATTAACATTTTCGGAAACATTGGTTACATCTGGTTTCAAAGTAAGCATATTTCCTATTATATGATCAGCACAATTCCTATCACGAACTTCAGGAAATTCAACAGTGTTTCCATTAATTGAGGATAACATAGTAGATTTTTCTTCTGCAAAGTTTTCATATTTTATTTTCTTCTGAAACCGTTAAAAGCTATTTAGCTTTCATTACAAATTATTATCATTTATATAATGTATGTAGGATTCACCTGTTCCGATTTTCCGAATCAACCAAGCAATCACTCCAGAATAATCATAATTGTTATACGTGGTAGAGCCATTCTGCGACTATATTAATAGGATAGTTGTAGCACGAATGGGTCGGCTCGACCGGAGAAGGACCACGCTCTCACAGAATACCAGCGAAAAATAGCAGCTTAACGCTTGTGTGTTTCTTATCGTGAGTGTGGAGAACCTGGGACCCTTTTTACTGGAAAAGAGGCATTCAATCTCAATCCTCACGGCTGACAACGCATCTGAATTTTAATTCGCAAACAAAGATAGATGTAGATGTCTATGGGCCACAGAAACTACTTTCCATCTGGTGGACTGTGTGCTCGTTTGTCATCCTTATTCTATAAAAAAAAATTTAAAAACTGCGTTAAAAATATTAATGGTAATACTACAATGTATCCTCAAACCGTGTTTGTAACCGTGTAGTGACTGGATAAGAGTATCCACTACACCATTTCGTCCTGTGGGTCTCCTGGTGGGTATTCTAAGAAGAGAAGAGTAACTGAAACAGAAGATGGCTACAACATCTACCTAATATCAACTAAAAATAATCAGACACTGGGAATGTCAACCCGCCTGCCAAGCATGTCAACTATGTTAAACTCTCTCTCCCATGAGGAAGTCTATGAAGAGGGTCTATGTTCGGCAGTGGACATTTATAGGATTTAATGGTTGGATCCTCAAAGAGTCGTTTACTTATCAGTTTGTGTATCAGAAGAAGATTAGGATGTAATTTTATAGATACGAGAATAATTGCATCACACTCGGATTCTTTTGCTAAGAATGCATAAAGTTATTAAGCTAAGAATGCATATCAAGTATGTCAAAATCTCAGTGGTTCGTTCTGGTCCATGGCAAGACGAAATGAGAAAGAAATAACCAGTGCTCCCCCCCCCCCATAATACCTCGAGTGGTAGCATACCGAGTGATGCTATTGAGTGAAATATACAATAAATTTATTGGTGTATCGTGTCTGTTACAGTGTGAGACCAACTTACATGTATATCAAAAAGAATTCCTTGAGACAGTTCAATGCCATTCTTTTTGGCAAGTGATCTAAGGACTTTTTCCGCTTCCGCTATTCGACCTCTGCCTACAAGCCACCTTGGTGACTCTGGTATCAACCAGTAAAACCTGTTAAATTAAGGAACATAAGTAAAATGATATAAATACAGAAATATAATGAAAAAAAATACGTTTATTTGGCATAAACAGGCGTACACTTATTAAATTTAAGAATAAAAGTTTCGAATGTCAATGAAAAATATGAACTGGAAAAACATAAAATGTATTTGCATTAGGCTAGTATAGTAAACCCCACACAGAGAAACAGTGCATTTATTATATCTCTATGATTGGTTGTTTTATAATGTTTTTTTTTTATTGTAGTGTGCAGTGTATAAAGTTCATTATAACATACAGAGAAAAAAAACATCCGTAACATAATTATCAAAACATTATTACAATAATTTTAAGTGTATACTGGTATTTATGAAGGTGTAGGAATATATAATAGAGGGTTTTTTCAGTGGTAAAGTAAAAAATGACTTTCAATAAGAATTACACATGTAATGTATATTGAATAAAAAAATAGTCTATTCTATTCTATATATGAAACTCACCCATACAAAGTTATGAACGGAAGACTTGTTGCTAACGATAGATAAAACCAATCCCGTACAATGTAGGCGATAATCGCTAGCAAGCTCATTCCACTAGCAAAAAACATTCCTACAATTATACCTAGAAAAATAACATGGGTCTTTTAAACTATAATAAAGAGAGAAGCTCAGCAGTGATCTTTTACAGGGTAAAGAAGACAAAGAAGTTTTACTCAGCGATTGCCAACTTCGCCCTCGACTCAATAAACGCAACGACTCTATTACAAAGTAAATAAAGATTTTAGTTTGTAAAAGTATCTGGTTACTAGCTATATTTCTTGTTTCATGTTGTTTTTGTTACTCAAACTGATAAGCTGTTGGTCTTTACATCTATCCTCGTTTACAAATCAAAATGCAGATGCGATGTCACCCGTGAGGACCAAGATGGAATGCCTCGTTTCCAGTAAAAAAGGGTCTCCGGTTCTCTACACTCACCATATGAAACACAGCAGCGTTATGCTGCTATTTTACGCTGGTATTCTGTGAGAGCATGGTCCTTTCCCGATCGAGCCGACCCATTCGTGCTACAACTATACCAGTAATATAGCTGCAGCATGGCTCTACCACGTAAAAACTGTGAAATGTGAAAAATAAAATACGAATTTTAAGTACTTTTAGTAGTTTTTTGAATTATGAATATTGCTTAAAAATTATTTTGAAAAATGCTTAGTATTAACAGTCCAAAGGACAGATATTATTCTAACAATATATTATAAATCATAAGTATTTTTAATTTACTATACCTGCATGCGTCCTCCGAGCGGGTGGCATCAATTCTAAGGCAAGAATAAATGGCAATTGATACATAGCTGGAAAGAATAGCCCACCAAGTACTCTTAAAACTATGTAGGTCATGTAAGAGCTTGGAAAACAAGCTGCTATTGCCAACGGCACTTCTAGGTAGATCATTAGCAAAATCGTTGGACGACGGCCATATCTGAAACGTAGAAAATCTGCACTTATCATTTACCTCTAAATTCCACCATAATTTTAAATCACTATTGAAATGGTGATATATAAATAAATAGGTTAATCAAATATTTGATTCCAACTATACAAACTACAATACAACTTTACTATATAACAAAAACTTAATAGCAGCGATAGTCAACGATTATAAAGCCGTCGTTTTAAAAAATAAAACTATATATTCAAAAGATACCTATAAACTGTTGCTGCATATTGTAAACAAACACATCTAATTTGAATTCATATTTTATTTTATATTTGATATTCTAATATCACGTGCCTCATTAACATACCTGTCTGACATCCATCCAAAGAAGAGGTTACCAAATATTGAGCCTACCCAGAATAGTGTGTAACCTGTCCGCGGCAACCATTCTTTCTCACATACCAAAGAAAACTGAAACAATGTTTGTTATTATATTGCACTTATAAAAATCACCTAAAGTAACGTATAATAAAATTTGGTTAAAAGTAAAAAAGATACCTCTGTAACAAGGGTCACCTCATATTGTTCAGTACTGAATCGCCAACCATTCAAACATCCCGTTGGCTTGCTTCTGATTAATGTTATGGCTTCTACTATTCTAGAAATCTGTGAAATAGAGAAGTATTTGTACAAAACCAAAATCCAGCCGTGTTGTCACCCCGAAGGATTGAGATGAAATGCATTATTACTAGTAAAAAATATTATCCCGTTCTCATCACATCATTCGAAAGACAGCGGCATCAAGCTGTTATTCGACACTGATATTCTGTGCAAGCTGTGGCTTTTTTCCGGTCGAGCTGACCTATTCGTGCTGCGGCTATAATAGCAACGATTTTTTTATATTTTTTAGGTACGAGTAGGTAGTGTCTAAATAGTCAGTATTATATATCCTAAGAACAGAGTTATATTTCTATGTAAACAACTTATTACATAACCGGCTGAGTACGAGTCGGACTCGCGCATGAAGGGTTTCGTACCATCGTAAAACACGTTTCTAGTATTTATTTTTATTTTTATTATTTGTTGTTATAACGGCAACATAAAACATTCTGTGAAAATTTCAGCTGTCTACTTATTACGGATCATGAGATACAGCCCGCTGATAGATAGACGGACGGACGGACGAACGGACAGTGGAAGCTTAATAATAGGGTCCCGTTTTTTTTTTTTTTTTTATAGGAGAGGGGGCAAACGAGCATGCGGCTCACCTGATGGTAAGTGACTACCGCCGCCCATGAACAACCGCAACACCAGGGGAATTGCAGAAGCGTTGCCGGCCTTTTAAAAAGGAGTAGGCTCTTTTCTTGAAGGTCCCTAAGTCGTATCCCTTTGGGTAAGGAACCCTAAAAATGTTTAGTTCTTTTGATATTATTTAAAATTTTACTTAATAAATGATGGCCACATAGAAGGCCGTAATTTTATGCCATAAAGACATATTAAAAAAAAAAGAAAATCACACACAATCTTAATATCATAATGTCATCTCTTAATTTGTTATTTACAATTAATGTTGATTTTGCCAATAGATAAACATGATTGCAAGGAATCTATGAATGTAATAAAATGAAAGTAATACCTGTTTTTCCCGCTCTTCGAATTCTTTAGCAGGGATCAACTGACAAGTTTTTATCGTTCGTAACACACCGCCCTCGTGAATTATTTCGGTCCTAGAAATATTTTTGGTTTTAATATTCACATAAGTATTTAATTTAAAAGCATTTATAATAGGTATCTTCGTTATCACGTAAACTTTTAAAAATATTATAAGCCAGTGATTGACAACTGTCATGCCTTATATAATATATATAATAGATAATATAAAAAAAGAAACTGGCAGTACCATTACAGCCTATCAAAGACCCGCTGCTGAACATATGCCACCCCCATATATTGCCTCATAGGGGAGTTATATGCTAGTGAAATGGATTGGCACCTACATTTTTTTATATTTTAGTTGTCAGAAAATAGACACTGCTGCCCATTCTTGATTTATTTCACGATGTTGCCAACAGAGGGAACTATCAACTAATAAAGTAAATGTTAGTTAGTAGAACTAGCAGTATTATTATATTATAGTACAACTGCTATTACTATTTATTTATTTTATATATTTATTTAAACTTTTATGCACAAGAGAAAAATCGTACATATGGCGGACTTAACGCATTAAGGCATTCTCTCCCAGTCAACCGTTAGGCTAAGCAGAGATAAACATATGGGAGGTAGTGCAGCAAAAGTAAAGTAATAATGAGAAAAAAAGGTTACGAAGTTCGAATAAACCAGAATATATAAATATATGTGTATATATATATATATATATATATATACACATATATTTATATATATATATATAAACAACAGTACTTATCTTAAAAAAAAGCGTAATCACTCTTGCTTTTAATATAACCGCATTGTAATTGGATGGAAAGACAGGGGCTGGCAAATATTTCGTAGTAGAATTGTTCACCTCAAACCTGTATTTTAAAAACCACATTTGATAACTACGCGAAATTTTAATAAAGCACCAATCCGATTACATAAGCGTTCCGTTATGCTAAATTTGGCACATGACACTAAAATGTAAATAGTTCTTTTATTATAGAAATAAAGTGACAAACGATCACACAATCCACCTTATGTTCCTCTTTTAAAAATCAGAATTCAGATGCGTTGTCACCCTTGAGAACGAAGATGTCATTCCTCGTTTCCAGAAAAAATGGTCTTCGGTTCTCACACCATACAAAACACAGCAGCATTAAGCTGCTATTTCACGCTGGTATCCTGTGAGAGCGTGGTCCTTCCCCAGTATACCTATTCATGCTACAGCCATAATATAGCTTGGTTAACTAAGTTGAAGAGTTCTTCTAGTTGCACGAAATCACCTTTCATCGACGTAAACGTGCAACGCAGCAAACAACGCCCTCGTGTCCAGGGCATATCTGGAACATGATTCATACACCCCTTCATGCTGTGGCACAGTAAGATTGCGTAGGAGACCCTCGGGCAGTTCCAAACCCTCGAGCTCTGGCGGCGGGGCGCACCAATGGTCGGGAGTGGCGTTAGTGAATACCTGCAACGTAAACATTATAGTTGTAGTTAATCGTGTAGTGGCCCCCATATCATCTAGTATCTTACTCATAACAAGTCAAAATTATTAAAACAAATATCGGTCGCCAATCTGCCTTCCAAGTGTGGCCAACTATGACAAAATCCTCCCTAAGGGAAAATTTTTGGGAGAGGCCTTTGTTCAACAGTGGACTTTAATTGGCTGTAATGGAATGGATGGTAGGAAAAAATATAGCTAAAATTTTCCATTCGTCTTCAATATGTAGAGATATTTTTCTGTCTAGAGGTATATCTGTATATCTCCCATAATTCCACCACTAAGCACCTATCTTTGTGTATATATAGGGGAGATGCGTGTAATACAATCCGTCGAGATAAAATGATTCCCCACTGTATGAGTAACTACTAGCGACATTTATCCAAATACACAAGAAGAGTCATCGCTGCCAGTTGCTTCTCCAAGTGTCATGGCGGTGTGAACGCTTCATCATTCATCATTATCATTACAGCCTTTCATAATTTTTTTTTAATTTAACGGTGGTAGAGCTACGCAGCGGCTTTTTCTGTTGCAAGTATGGGCCGGCTCGAGCCGGGTTAGTACCACGACCTCACGTGAAATGGAAGCTCTGCTTCCGCGTTTCGTTTGGTGAGTGCAAGTGACCGGAGGCCCAATTCCCCCCACCCCCCACCCCCCATCAACATGGTAGCGGAATTACATCATAGACTACCCCAGGAGGGTACCAGCACCCCTGGAGAATCCCTCGCTGAACATCCACGGCTATGCTATTCCACTCCTGAGCGTGGGTGCTCAGGCTGCCCCACGTATTCTGGGGGGGGGGGGGGGGCAAATTCCACTCAACACAATAACTGCTCGGGGCAAACTGAGCAACAAGACCAATGCGACCCCTGCCACGCTATCCGTGAATTTCTGCAACATCAGGAAACTTCACTCGAACCTAAACGCCATCCACGACCATCTTGAGACGGCGAAGCCGGCCTTGCTCTTTCTGACCGAGACGCAGGTGTCCCCTCCGGCTGATACTTCGTATCTCTCCTACTCGGGGTACAAATTGGAGCACTCCTTTGTGCCTCGGGCTGGAGTTTGCGTATACGTCAGAGATGACATCTGTTCTCGATGACGCCTGCCATGCGTAGACAGCGACGACCATCCGCGCGTCTACGGGTGCCTCTATAGGTCCCATAGTGGTAGTGCCGAAACAGACCGACTCATCGACCACGTCCAAATGGCTACAGATTCCTTGCTACAACCTGTTGTAGCAAGGAACCTGTCCCATCCGCAGAGATCGTGATCCTTAGCGATTTTAACGCCCACCACGCCGAATGGCTCGGTTCATGTTTAACCGATCATGCGGGGAGATCTGTTTATGACTTTGCCTTGGCATATGGACTGACACAACTGGTTACATCGCCTACGCAAATTCCAGATATGGAGGATCATACACCTTCCCTGTTGGACCTTCTGCTGACCTCTCATCCGGACTGATATCAGGTTTCCGCCGATGCCCCTCTCGGCTCTTTGGACCATTGTCTGATCCAGAGTGTGGTGCCAATCACGCTCCCCTCGCGGTTGCGTTCTGCAGGTTGCCGTCGTGTTTGGCATTACAGGTCGGCGGATTGGGACGAAATGCGGTCTTTCTTTGCATCCTACCCATGGGGGCGGGTTTGCTTCTCGCCAGATGATCCCAGCGCTGTTGCTGACTCTATCACTGATGTGGTGCTACAGGGAATGGAACTATTTATTCCATCATCTGTGGTACCCATCGGAGGCAGATCTCAGCCTTGGTTTGGTCGCTCCTGTAAGACTGCATTACGCAGTAAGTAGGATTGTTATTAAGCCTGAGCTGCGACTTCGGTGACTCGGGATGTAAACACCAGCATACTTAAAAAGAAGTATAACTGCGCCTCCAGGTCTTTCAAAAGAGTTATTGCCAAGACAAAGTCAGAGCACATAGGCAGAATTGGCGAGAAACTAGTTCGCCTTCCTTCGGGAATCCGTACATTCTGGTCTCTCACTAAGGCTGTCCAAGGGAATTTCTGTAAGCCATCACTACCATCTCTGCACAGGAAGGACGACTCACTGGCCCACACCGCAAAAGAGAAATCCGACCTTTTAGGCTCCCTTTTTGCGCCCAACTCGACTTGATGACGGGGGGAACACACCGCCGACCATCCCGCGGTGTGAGTGCTCCATGCCGGATGTGCGGTTTTCACAGCGCTCGGTTCGCAGAGCACTCCTCTCCCTAGACATCAACAAGTCAAGTGGGCCTGACGGAATCCCCCCAACTGAGCTGAGGACGTGTGCTCCGGAGTTGGCACCGGTTCTAACGCGGCTTTTCTTGGAAACAGAAACAGAAACAGAAACTTTTTTATTCAATATAGATTATAAATAATACTTATTTAAAGTCACTCTTTGTATGATTACCACTGGTTCGAAAAAAAAAACCTCTGTCCTGGGAAGAACCAGCAAGAAACCCAGCGGAACTTTTTTTTAAATAACAACTTACAATTATGTATGTTACACAAATTAATAACACAACAAATTTGAAATAGCTTGGTGACGATCACTTCATTTCCAGGGGTTATTATCATCGATAAATTCATTAATATTATAATAACCCTTTTTATACAAACTTAGTTTAATAAAGTTTTTGAACTTTGAGCAGGTCAAATTTTGTATATTTTCTGGAATTTTGTTGTAAAAGCGTATACATCGCCCCAAGAATGAATTACTGACTCGATGGAGTCGAGTAACTGGTACTACTAGCTTGTGTCTGTTCCTAGTATTTACAGAATGAATATCACTTATTTTTGTAAAACTACTTTTATTTTTGTGTACGTACATTACATTTTCATAAATGTATTGAGAGGCCAAAGTTAATATATTAATTTCCTTAAATTTTTGTCGCAGGGACTCTTTAGGCTTTAAATCATAAAGTGCTCTTATGGCCCTCTTCTGTAAAAGAAATATAATTTCAGTGTCAGCTGCGTGTCCCCATAGCAAAATACCATACGACATTATGCTATGGAAATAGCTAAAGTAGACTAGTCTAGCTGTTTCAACACTAGTTAGACTTCTAATCTTTTTTACGGCATATGCTGCAGAACTAAGTCTGCTAGCTAGTTTTGATATATGGGGGCCCCATTGAAGCTTCGTGTCTAGTGTGATTCCAAGAAAAATGGTGGTATCTACAAGACTCAGTTTCTCCCCATTTAAAATTACATTAGTATTTAATTGTTTGACATTTGGAGTCCTAAATTTCATACATTTCGTTTTAGTGCCATTTAAATGCAAATTATTAACATCGAACCAATTTACTAATTTAGATATAGCATTATTTACTTCGTCATATTTTAGCAATTGTCGACGTTATTTGAAGAAGTGTCATCTGCAAATAATACTATATCATGGTTATCTCCTACTATGTAAGGTAAGTCATTAATGTATACAAGAAACAGAAAGGGGCCGATAATTGAGCCTTGAGGCACGCCCATTTGTACCATCGACCCGGAAAAACTCATACAGTTAATGACAACTTTTTGCGTTCGCTTACTTAAATATGAAATAATTAATTTAAGAGCATCACTTCTTACACCGTAGTATTGAAGTTTCCTGATTAATGTTTCATGGTGAACACAATCGAAGGCTTTGGGTAGGTCACAAAATATACCCAAAGCATCCTGTGAATTCTCCCATGCATTAAATATATATTTAATCAGCTCAACACCGGCATCAGTTGTCGAGCGACCCCTTGTGAAACCAAATTGATTTTTATGAAGTAAATTATTTATATTAAAAAAATTTAATATTTGAACAAGAACATTTTTTTCAAAAATCTTACTAAGTGTTGGTAGTACAGAAATAGGTCTAAAATTGGCGGGGTCTAATGTACTACCAGATTTAAATAAAGGTATTACTTTACTATACTTCATTAAATCAGGAAACACACCAGATTCGACACTAATATTAAAATGTATCTATTATAGACGCAATATGTTTAACGGAAATCCCCCACAGATCCGCAGTTTTCTTAACATCAATAGTTTTAAAATATTTTACAATATCTTTTGATGATACTTTATGAAATGCAAAATTCTTTGTACACGCATTTACATTTTGTTTAAGTAATGATTCGGCGACCGCAGGAGAAGAATTCAGCGACTTAGTAGTTAATATCGGAATATCAGTAAAATATTTCTCAAAAACCATTGCAACGTCCAGATCTGATTCGGTTAATTTGTTACCAACACTTAATTGGTAGTTTGAATTGCGAGAGTTGATCTTACCAGTTTCGCTATTAATTATACTCCATGTCATTTTAATTTTATTAGAAGCCGTCTTAATTTTGTTGCTCAAATGCAAAGACTTGGCTTGGAGCACACTCTTTTAAATATTTTTGAATATTTTTTCACATATTCCCTAAATTCGACGCTATGATTATATGACCTTTCATGGTAAAGATCACATAGCCTATGTCTGCTCTTATGGACAGGAGTCCAGTCATTTAATGAATGGGCGACAGTAGGAACTGTCGCCCATTCATTAAATGACTACCGACTGTTCAAGGAGAATGTTTTAGAAGTAAAAGTATTATTAAATTCATTGCAAATAAGCTTAAATAATGTTCCATACAAAAAATTACGATCATTTTGGTATGAAAGTGATGGAAGTTTTTTCACTATGTTACTTTTAAATTTCTCCAAGCGACGTGCATTTACTGGAACAAACACAACTTTCTCATCTGCTTGCTTTTTGTGAACATAAGGTAACGAAACTACCTGTCCACAGTGATCAGAACTTAATTTTTGAATTATACATTTATGCAACGGCTTCACATTTGTAAAAATGTTATCTATACATGTTGCACTAGATTGAGCAATACGCGTTGGCTCTAAAAATAAATTAAAAAGACCATATGATGTAAACAATGATCTAAATTTAATATTGATTGAGGAAGCTTCTAGGAGATTGATATTAAAGTCTCC